TCGGCAAGTTGGCGTTGGCGAGTTGAACCGTCGGCGAGTTGACTGGATACCAACATGATATGCTGAGGCGGATCCATATGTCCCACATGGGTATGGAGGGGTGTCTATGACGGGCACAAGAGTGCGTGTACTGGCCTGCCATGTCCAGTGAGGTGAAGGACTTTATTCTGAAGTGCGACATTTGCCGTTCTGTTGACAACAAGCAGCAAAAGGAAACTCTTATTTCCCATGATGTCCTTGACCGTCTGTGGGCCAAAGTGGGGGTTGATTTGTTCACGTTTAACCAGACCAACTACCCGATAACTACCTGGGGATCAACCTTCTAGAAAACACTACAGCCAGTCACATATTCAGAAAGATGAAGTTTGCCCAACATGGTATTCCCGATGCCCGTGTTTCAGACAATGGCCCACAGTTCACAGCTCATGAGTACAAGAAGTTCAGCAAGCAATGGAAATTTGAGCTAGTCACGACTTCACTGAGGTACCCCAAAAGCAGTGGAAAAGTCGAAAATGCTGTCTGAGCAGCCAAACGACTGATGAAAAAAGTGAAGAACTCTTTCAATGCTTACCTTGCTCTCCTCAACTACCGCAATATGCCAATACAAGCCTTAGTTGCCAGTCCAGCCCAACGACTGATGATCTGCCAAACGAAAACCCTTCTGCCAACAACAAAAATTCTGCTGGTTCCTGAAGTAACCATGGGACAGCATCAGAAAATTCTGGCCAACAAGCAACACAAGATATCGGATTTGCTCTTTACATTTCAATCTGGATTACATTACGTGCTGTGTTACATGAATCATTCTCAGGCTGTAATACTTTTGGGAACCAACTGGATACGAGAAAAGTTCAAAGGATTTTGTTTGTAGCAAATAACCGATTTCTGGGGACATTCAGAACTAATGCGAGAAAATGAAATTGTGAAATGCATCAAAAACCATGTGCTTCCTGAAATAGGATAATTGAAAGGTGCGTTCTTTACATGGTGTCATGACTAACTGCGCTATTGCTTGCAAGGTGAGTGTTTTTTTGTTTGTGTCTTTGTGATGGATTTCTTAAAAGGTATTTTCTTAATATACCGCAGCATTCACAAGCCTCTTCCTGTTCTGGTTTGGAATACCATCAAATCTGCTGGCATTACTGGGAGGACCAGAGGTAGACAAGGAGGAACGGCTATTACCAGAATACACCAGATTCCCATATTTTTCCCAACCCTATATTAGAAGATCCTCGCAGCTAAGAACACTACTGAAACTAGTAGTTGTAAGTAGGACCTGAAAAAAATTTCAGGCCCGTACGGGATTTGAACCCATGACCTCTGCGATACCGGTGCAGCGCTCTACCAATTGAGCTAACAAGCCAACTGCGAGGATCTTCTAATTTCATCTTTCCACCGCAGTGCAAATATGTGAATTTTCATATATCTAAATCTTCATTCACTCGGATGTTTATTTGTACCCAATTCATTGACCAGCTCCCAGTTGGCTTGTTAGCTCAATTGGTAGAGCACTGCACCGGTATCGCAGAGGTCACGGGTTCAAATCCCGTACGGGCCTGAAATTTTTTTCAGGTCCTACTTACAACTACTAGTTTCAGTAGTGTTATTAGCTGCGAGGATCTTCTAATTTCAGCTTGATCATGTCACACCACTACTTATTGAGCTACACTGGCTCCCCATCCGTCAGCATATTATTTTTAAGATTTTACCATACACCTTCAAGGCACTCCATGGTGTAGCTCCAACGTAATTAACTGAGCTCATCAGTCCTTATGTTCCTAGGCGAGCTCTCAGGTCTGCTGACCAACTTCTACTGGAGCAACCAACACACAAGCTCAAATTGACAGGCCTGAGGGCTTTCTCAGTGTGCGCGCCTTACCTCTGGAACTCATTTCCATTTGAGATTAAAAGCAGCGCAGCTGTCTTTTTTTTTTAATCTAAGCTTAAGACCTATCTTTTTCAACAAGCATATTTATAGACTTCAAATTTTATTTTATTATAGGTTATGATAATTTGACACTGTAAAGCGCATTTGGGCGTCAGGAAAATGCGCTATAGAAATAAATTATTTTTATTATTATAATTATGGTTCACAATGTGCCAACAGTGGTGCAAAGATAATCAACTCACAATACATCTATTTAAAACTGAAGCAATTTTGATCAGAAAAACCCTTGTTTTATTGGCCCACTGCCTCCTTTGTATTTTGGATCTGGCATGATACATGTACTTGAATCATCGACTTGCCTGGGTTTGAAGCTTGATTGTAGACATTCATGGTCTGAAGACATTTCTCAAGAGAGAAAGTCTTTAGTGCAAAAGGTTAAAGCAATGAAAGGAATGAAGTTCCTACTGAAGTACACATTCTATCGGGCTGATCATTATCAAGTTAGGTCCATATCATACTTAGGAATTACTGTGAACAATAAATCAAAATGGGAGTCTTGTCCACCAAAATGTCAAAGGCATTTGATTCGCTGTACCTTTCCCTACTGGTCAACAAACTGACAGCACACGGTTTCTCCACCAACTCATTAGCTCTAAGTGATCATATTTCACAAATAGGAAAAACAGAGTTTTGATAAGCCAAGAAACAACAAGCAGTTGGTACACAGCCATAAGAGGCTGTCCCCAGGTATCTGCATTTGGGCCTCTTCTTAAGAATGTTTTCCAAAATGATCCACACCTCTCCACTGACAAAAACAGGCTATTGTATGTGTATGTTGATGAACACCACCTGTTTTCTGTGGCAAGGACAACTAACCGCTTATCTTAATGCGTGGGGAGCTAATATGGATATCCATTATGTCCTAGATGTAAATGCATGTGCCGTATACATAATAAATTACATATCCAAAGGTCAGCAAGTCACGAGTGAACATTTCACAACATGCCTGTACTGAAAGAAGAAGGGGAAATGTTGGATTAGTTGTTTATTACATCAGACTTCCGGTGTTCTAGTTAGCAAGGCCCCGTTGCATGTTGGGGGCCATGTGCTTTGAGGTTCGGCCATCTTGTATGTACTTCATCGGTGTGCGGAATAAATCTTTACTTTGAAGCCTAAATATTACATGGTGGCAGCGGTGAGTAGAGACAATCAACGTTAAACAATGCCAGGAGGCGAAGAACAGAACACGTCAGGCACGGGGACGGTTAATCAGGCCCACATTGTAACGATATCGATGTTATCGTTCTATTTACTTCCGGTCCGCATTTACGTCATAACTACCATGGCAACAAAACTTTAGAGACCATGCTTTCCGGTTTTGTAGAGTTCGTCGGACATCGATTAAATAGACCTGTGTTACTTCACCTGTGTGTGTCTTGTTCCTCTTATAAATAACGCCACATGGTGTCAGTGATTTGGGATTCTTCCTACAGAATCGTCGCTGAAATACTTGAGTGAATTTTCAAGCCAAACTCAGTGAATCTAGCTCCAGATGACCGAATCAGGCTCGTCGAGCGTAGCTTCAACAAGCACGCAGCCAGCAACTCCTCAATTTATCCAGTCCTCTATTCCTTTACCGTCGAAACTAGACGTCAAGGGGAACTTAGCTGTGAATTGGAAGAAATTTAAGCGGCTTTGGACAAACTACGAGATCGCCTCTCGGCTCAGTACGCAAAGCAGTAATCTTCGAACAGCCACATTGTTGACATGTATTGGCCCAGATATCCTGGAGATTTACGATGGTTTGCCCTTCGGAAATGAAGAGGAGAAAACCGACATCGACAAAGTGATAGAGCTTCTAGACGCTTTTTTCATCGGTGAGACGAATGAAATATACGAAGCCTATCTGTTCAATCAGAGAGTACAGGAGGTCGGTGAGTCATTTGATGTTTTCCTTACAGCTTTACGTTCGTTAGCTAAAACGTGCAATTTTGGCATCATGCAAGAGCGAATGATTAGAGACAGAGTTGTGGTAGGAATTAGAGATACCGCCACCCGAAAAAAGCTGCTAGCTGAGAACAAACTAACTCTTAACAAGTGTATTGATATTTGCCGTGCGAGTGAAACCACATCCAAACAACTTAAGGAGATGTCCCATGCGGAGGAGGTTAGCGCCGTTGCCACAGGCCACCCAAAATCGAAGATAGGTTTTCGCCATAATAAAGTACGAAATTTCAGTAAAGTTCAACGCCCCGTCCACAACAAAGTAACAGAACCAGTTAGATGTAAGTTCTGCCACAGAACCCATCCTTTAAAGAAGGAACTCTGTCCAGCATGGCAGCACAAGTGTGATAATTGTGGTCGAATGAACCACTTCTCAGTGGCTTGCAGAAGTCAGAAAGCTAACAAAAAGCAAACTAAGAAGTCAGTCCACAATGTAGAACAAGAAGTTCAGGAGTTTAATGACGAAGATTCTGATGATTACTTATTCAGTGTAGAATATGTGAGCGTCCTGTATGCAAAAAACAGCCCCAAGAAGATTTATGCTAACATGCGCTTGAAGGATGAAACAGTGAAATTCCAGTTAGACTGTGGAGCAACAGTCAATATCCTCCCAGCAGATATTTATCAGCAGGTATTTAAGGATCCGCGGATGGAACGCCTTCAGCCTACTCAATCTACCCTCGTCATGTTCAACAAATCAGAGCTGAAACCTCTAGGATGTACTAAGGTAGAGACCTTCAACCCCAAGAATGGACAGTGTTTCCTCACGGAATACACCGTCGTTCCAACAGGTCACACAGCACTCCTTGGTGCTGAATCGGTGCAGCAGTTTGGCCTCATAGTAATTAACACCGATAACATCATGTCTCTCTCGAATGAGATTCTCACACAGCCAGATCTCGTGAGCAAATTCGGAGATGTCTTCTCAGGAGAAGGAAAGCTCAAAGGAAAGCTTCACCTCGAGATTGATAAGTCTGTAACCCCTGTGGCACTGCCAGTGAGGAAAGTCCCCTTTGCAGTAAAAGAGCCTTTAAAACAGGAACTAGAACGCTTAGTTAAGATAGGCATCTTGTAACCAGTAGATGTTCCAACAGATTGGATTTCCTCAATGGTGGTCATTAAGAAGAGCACTGGAAAGATAAGGTTATGTATCGACCCAAAACCTCTGAATAAAGCACTCAGGAGAAATCATTTTCCCCTTCCAGTGATCGATGATCTACTACCACTGCTTACAAATGCTAAAGTCTTCAGTGTCGTCGACGCAAAGAACGGGTTTTGGCATGTGCAGCTAGACGATGAAAGCAGTCTTCTGACCACATTCGGTACCCCCTGGGGAAGGTTCCGCTGGACGCGGATGCCCTTCGGCATATCACCCGCTCCGGAAGAGTTTCAGAGGAGATTGGAATACGCCCTGGAAGGTCTTGATGGAATTAAGCCAATATTTGATGATATCCTTGTTTTTGGTGTCGGAGAAACAGAAGCTGAAGCACTTTCTGACCATGATGCAAAGCTGACAGCATTGTTAGAACGCTGCCGCGCTACTGGCATTAAGTTGAACAAAGAGAAGCTTAAGCTCCGTCGCAAAGAAGTGAAGTTTATGGGACATGTTATATGTCAAGATGGTCTTAAGCCTGACCCAGACAAAGTACAAGGTATCAAAGAGATGCCAACCCCGACAAGCAAACAAGATCTCAAGAGACTTCTCGGCATGGTAAATTACCTCCAGAAGTTCGCTCCTAACCTGTCAGAAGTTACAGCCCCAATGAGAGACCTCTTGAAAGAAGGGAACCAGTTCCGTTGGGATGAGCAAGTACAAGGTTGTAGTTTCAAGCGAGTTAAGGAGATACTCTCAGCTGCCCCTGTCCTCAAGTATTTTAACCCCAAAGACGACGTGGAATTGCAGTGTGATGCATCAGACCGAGGACTTGGTGCATGTCTTATGCAAGGAGGCCAGCCCGTGGCTTATGTATCTCGTTCCATGACAGAAACAGAAGTGAACTATGCCCAGATAGAGAAAGAGATGCTTGCAATACTTTTCGGAGTAGAACGTTTTGAGCAGTTTGTATATGGTCGACCTGTCAAGATCCAAACTGACCACAAACCCTTGGAGAGCATCTTCCGTAAAAGTCTACTTAGTGCCCCTAAACGTCTTCAGCGAATGTTGCTAAGATTGCAGAAGTATGACCTCCAAGTGTCTTACAAAAAAGGGACTGAAATGTATCTGGCAGATACACTGAGCAGAGCATACAGAGTGCACAAGAGCACAAAAGAAGATGTAGCAGAAGATGTTATGTACATAGAGAACATGAGAGGAGACACTGAAAGAGAGCTAGAGCACATCAATATGATACAATACTTGCCAGTATCGGAACCAACGCTGATTGCCATTCAGCAAGCAACAGAATCCGATCCTACCCTGAGAGAGCTGAAGAAAACAATCAGGCAAGGTTGGCCAGCTACCAAGGCTGGGGTATCAGCAAACATCAGTGGTTACTTTACATTTCGGGACGAACTGTCTTTGCAGAATGGACTGGTCTTCAAAGGTGAAAGACTAGTTATCCCTATGAGCGTGAAAGCTGACATGTTGGCTAAGATCCACCGGAGCCACATCGGCATCCAAGGCTGTCTCAGAAGAGCAAGAGAAGTAGTTTACTGGCCTGGGATGAACAAAGATGTCGAAGATTATGTAGCAAAGTGTGCCATTTGCAACAGCCAGCCTGTCGAGCAAGGAAAAGAGCCAATGATTTGTCACGAACTGCCCAGTAGACCATGGCAGAAAATCGCAGTGGATTTTTTTGATCTGAACAGTGTAGATTTCATGGTGACCGTTGACTACTATTCAAGCTTCTTTGAAGTCGACAGAATGACAAGCAAGACAGCAGACGAAGTTGTGAAGAAGTTGAAAGCCCATCTTGCCCGCCATGGAATTCCCGACCAGCTTGTATCGGATAATGGACAGCCCTTTTCTTCCGCAAAGTTCCAACAGTTCGCAGACACTTATGGTTTTGAACATATAACAAGCTCTCCAACATATCCTCAGTCCAACGGCAAAGTCGAGAACACGGTGAAGACAGCAAAACATCTGCTAGAGAAAGCCGTCAAGTCCGAACAAGACCCATATCTTGCCCTGCTGGACTGGAGAAATACTCCTACAGAAACACTCAACTCGTCACCTGTTCAGCGATTATTCGGTAGAAGAACAAAGACTCCACTCCCAACCTCAAACCAATTGCTCAAGCCGAAGCTACCAGAGGAGGTTGATCAGAAGTTCAAGCTACAAAAGGCTAAACAATCCCTGTACTACAATCAAGGCGCCAAAGAACTGAAGGAATTGCGCCCAGGAGACACAGTGCGATTGCAGCCACTAAAATCCCACTTGGGAAAGAAGAAGGATTGGACCCAAGCAAGAGTCGAAGGCAAAGTCGACATAAGGTCCTATCAAGTCAGAACAGAAGATGGAAGAGTTTATAGGAGGAACCGCAGACACCTGAGACATACACGTGAAGTGATGCCACACAGTGAAGATGGGACGAGATTCTCCCCAAAGGCAACACCAATTTCTGCAAATTCTGGTAATGAAATACCATCGGTACCACCTTCCACACCAAGTACTGCAGTCAGTAAGGACCAATCAGACACAGTACCTTTGCAGAACACGGACAAGCCACATCCGGAATATCCACCTCAGTCTGCAGCAGATAAGCAGGAGATTTCCCCATTGGTGACCACCACTCGATCTGGACGAATTGTGCGACCACCCACACGTTACTAGTGATTGGGGTTATCGAAAGAACAAAAAAAGGACATGACAAACTCTTAATTTTCTTTTTTTTTGTAGTTTATTTTAAACTAGGATTGAGACATTCAGTTACGTTTACATTTTTTTTTGTTTCCTGAAGAAAGGGAGATGTAACGATATCGATGTTATCGTTCTATTTACTTCCGGTCCGCATTTACGTCATAACTACCATGGCAACAAAACTTTAGAGACCATGCTTTCCGGTTTTGTAGAGTTCGTCGGACATCGATTAAATAGACCTGTGTTACTTCACCTGTGTGTGTCTTGTTCCTCTTATAAATAACACCACACACATGACCACACAAATTCCTCTCCCCGGAAAATTCAAAGAGGCAAACAGTCCACAAGCAGTAGATGCATGGCCAAAGTGGCTTCACCGATTTGACCGGTACAGAGCAGCGTCAGGGCTAAACAGCAAACCACCAACTGAGTAGGTCAGTACTCTCCTTTATGCAATGGGCGACAGTGCCAATGATATTCTCCAAACGCTCCCACTAGACAAAGGAACTGTCTCATACGATGAGATTAAGAAATCGTTAAACGACTATTTTGCTGAACGTCGAAACGTAATCGTGGAGAGAGCATGTTTTAACAAAAGGTCTCAGAAACCGGGAGAATCTGTCGAGTCATTTATCCAGGATCTGTACAGATTAGCAAATAATTGTAACTACGGTGCGTTAAGGGATGACTTGAATCGAGACCGAATCGTAGTGGGGAATTATGGTCAACTCGCCGACGGACCAACTTGCCGACGTATAAAATCGAGTAGAGATGTCGGCGAGTTGGTCGTCAATCCAATACAACTTATTAGAAGGTAAACATACAGAAAAGTAAACGATACACTGGACACTGGTGAACATTGGTGAACATCTAACAGAAGCTTAAACATTGGTGAACATCACCAATGACTATAAGAGCTTAAGACGCGAACAAGCTATTGTGCGACAACGGTATCCCGTTAGATTGCTCCATGGTTAGATCGCTCCAAGTCAGATCGCTCCATACCGAAGTCAGATTGCTCCACTCGAAAGTTAGTTCGCTCCATCAAATAAGTTACTTCGCTCCATGTAGAAACCTGATACACTAACTTACTTCTGATCTTTATAGTTTATAGTTGATGATGTGTATTGCGTCTTGCGATCGAGTTGCTGATCGACGTATTCGCTAATTTGAGGTCACCAAAGCAAGTGTTTCAGTGTGTAATGAACGTAGAAAACTAATAAACTAACTTACTTCTGATCTTTGTAGTTTATAGTTGATGATGTTGCTTGCGATCAAGTTGCTGAAATATAAAGTGATCGACGATTCATTCACTTGAACCCACCAAAGCGAATTACCAATGTTAACAAACATCATTAGCATTAACCAATGAGGTGATAGAATTTCGCGGTGCACTGATCCACGGTTGTGTATAAAAGGGGTACTTTATTGATAGCATTCATTCAGCATTTAGCTACGATTACGATTACCATTCGAAAACGAGTTTAATCCACGATGTCTTCCAAGTGTATCTCTTGCAAGAAACTTGTCCAAGCGCGTCAACAAGGACTTCAATGCGATGGCTGCAACAGGTGGCAACATCGCGTCTGTGGAACTGGAATCAGCTTAGCTGATTATCGTGAAGCCGTCCAGACTGATTCACCTATCGACTGGCGCTGCACAGAGTGTATGTCAGAGTCCCTCCTCCCCGTGGCGGAAAGCACTCCTGTGGACTTCGTCGCCAACTCCGTCCTCAAGTCAGACATCGACGAGCCAGTTCCGGATTCCATGGCCGCTGATTCTTCCGATTCTGAGTCAGTTTGAGATCCAGCCGTGCTCGACGAGTCTTCCATCATCGATCCGCCAGCCCTCGTAGAAGAGCATGACGCTCCCACCGCCGTGACCTTCAAGTTGATTCCTGACGCCACGTCACAAGGCAGACCAAAACTTGTCGACAGCAGGGGCTACAGCTACAACATCAGGCGAAGGCGACCAAATGCTGTTGACTGACAGTGTACTATTAGACGAAAGGTAAATATTGTTAGTAGATAAAAGCAAAAAAAAAACAACCAAAGTTTTAATCATTTCGTCATCTGAAAATTTTTCATTCTGTTTCATTGAAGGTAAACCCATGTAGAGCGGCTCTTATAGAGCGCAACGATGGCTCATTCCAGATTGGAGCACATGCACACAACCATCCCGCAGACATCAGCGCAGCAGTCTCAGCCACTATCTCAGCCAAAGTCAAAGCGATCGCTGCCGAGAACATCTTCCGACCAGCGTCGAGTATCGTCGAGGAGATACTTCTACAAGAGCTGACTGATGCTCCCTGCCCAAGTCTACCCAAACCTGAATACATCACCAGGACTGCCAACCGGTTCCGCCAATGCCTGAGGCCAAAAGACCCTACAGACTTAGCCTTCGAGTTAGAGCACGACCACATCCTGGCTGGCTTCTTCCACGCCGTCGCCACTTGATGTTTGCCACAGAACAGCAACTACAGTACCTCGCCCAAACAAAGAACTGGTACGTGGATGGCACCTTCAAACTCTGCAGACCTCCCTTCACCCAGCTCCTCACCGTGAATGCCTTCGTAAAACAGGATGATCACGCCAAGCAGGTGCCCCTCCTGTGCGTCGTAATGTCGGGGAAGAACAAGAAGGACTACCGAAAGGTCTTCAAACAGCTGCTCGAGATACTTCCAACAGCGCCTGCAGTGAAGCGGATAACCCTCGACTTCGAGAAAGCAGTTTGGGTCGTGCTGAGAAACCTGTTTCCTGATGTCAAGCAGCAGGGATGCGCATTCCACTGGACACAAGCTCTGTGGAGAAAGGTGAGATGATAACTAACTTTAATTTAGTGATTTTTCGTAAATTTTGGAAAACACATTTAAGCGACATGTTACTAGTTTAGCGATTTTGAAAATTCCGTAATTTGCGATTTCCAATTCAAAACATTAAATTCGGATAAGTACATTAATTTGCTAAAATCATTTATGCCCTTTAACTGATACAACTTTTATGGGATTAAAATGAGTTAAAACTTAAAAAAAAAAACTGTCATGATGTTTTAATAACACACAACACAACACACTGTAACACACACTTGCTTATATTCTGTTTAATTTTTCTTTGCTAGGTTCAGGCGCTTGGGCTGACAAACAGTTATTACAACGACAGAGGCTCCTACACTTACATCCGTAAGATGATGGCACTTCCGTTCCTGCCTGAGGGAGAGATCCTGACCGAGTTTCAGCATCTTCAACGCCAGGCAGAGTCCCTGACCTTAGCAGAGTTCGCCGAGTATGTCAACAGTACCTGGATCAGCAACGCGACATGGAGCCCTGCTGACTGGACAGTCTTCAAACAAGCAGTACGAATGAACAACAACCTTGAAGGCTGGCACCACGGGATCAACCGTCGAGCGGCTGGCAAGTCACAACTCCCACTTTACGTCCTGATCAAGCTGCTACACCAGGAGGCCCAGCTGACAGCTATCCAGATCCGTTTGGTATCAGAGAAAAAACTACGAAGGATCCAGCGCCGCAAATACAGAGACCTGCAGGCAAAAATCTTCGATCTCTGGGAGCAATATGACAACAACGAGAGGTCCGCCAGACAGCTACTGAAAGCCTGTTCTTTCCTGAACGGTCCTGTTTAAAGAGCAGCAGACACCACAACCATCACAAACAAAAGGCTCCTTTAGGAGCCACCAAATAAAATAAAAGAAATGACCAACAATGAATATGATTTATAAATATTGCTTTCAAAGAATCACCATTTTTAAACGTTGTCAAATCCAGCCGTGAGTGAGACTGGGTTCGACTCCGGTTAAAAATGGCGTTACAATACTCTTTCTTTTCTTTTCCCTTATCCTTCTGTCTTTTATCAACCTTACACGTTAGTTTTCTTCATGGAGCGAAGTAACTTATGTATGGAGCGAAGTAACTTATGTACGGCGTGAAGTAACTTATTTGATGGAGCGAACTAACTTTCGAGTGGAGCGATCTAACCGTAATTCGCGACAACAACACCGTAAAGACTCATCATGTCAATCGCTCAGATTTTTTAACGAAAACTTGGCTTTCTACACGAGACCTTTAGTAAAAAGCATTTCTTTTTATTTGCAACAAAGTTTAAGGATTTCAAGGTGAATAAAGCGAAGTAAACATCACCAATGACTCACACAACTCATTAGCGTCTACAGCCAATTTTGTTCATTGGCGATGTTAACGTCACTTTATTCGCCTTGAGATCCTTACAAACTTTGTTGCAAATAAAAATAATTGCTTCTGAGAGCCTTGCCAAGCTAGGAAAAAGTCACTATTTCACCAAACTCGATGCAAACAGCAGATTCTGGCAGCTCCCTCTCGATGAAAGGTCAAAATTGCTGACTACATTTGTTACTCCATTTGGCCGATAATGTTTCAATTGCCTTCCTTTTAGCATAAGTTCCGCTCCAGAGATCTTTCAGCATACAATGTCTGAAATCCTCAATGGTGTCGAGGGAGTAATATGCCAAATGGACGATGTTCTCGTCCATGGAGCCAACCAAGAAGAACATGACAGACGAGTGAGAGCCACATTGCATCGTCTAAAAGAGGCTGGCATAACCCTCAACATTGAAAAATGCCAGTTTTTCAAAACCTCTGTGAAATTCCTAGGTTCCATCATTGATGAACAGGGAATACATGCTGACCCAACAAAGACGAGAGCCATATCAGAGTTTCCACCTCCCCAAAATGTAAAGGACTTGCAACGCTTTATGGGGATGGTTAACCATTTGGGGAAGTTTGTCCCCCAGCTGGCTGAGAAGAGCGAGCCCCTGCGACAGCTGTTATGCAAAGACACTACATGGCTATGGACAGATCCCCAGCAGAGAGCCTTTGACCAGATTAAAACAACCCTTACATCAGCCGAAGTCTTAGCATGTTATGACCCCAGTCGACCAACCATCATCACAGCTGATGCCTCCCTAAACGGTATCGGTGCAGTCCTCCTTCAGGTACAAGATGATGGGACCTGTAGACCCATTAGCTATGCATTGCGATCACTCAGTGATGCTGAAAAACGCCATGCTGTTAAAGAGAAAGAGGCACCAGCAAGAGTCTGGGCATGTGAGAAGTTCATTGAATATGTTGTGGGCATGAGTTTTGTCCTAGAGACTGACCAAAGCCCCTTCAAGCTCTATTCAACACCACTGAACTGTCCAAGACCCCACCACGTATCCAGCGGTTTTGCCTTCGGTTGATGAGATTCAGCGTCACTGTCAACCATGTCAAGGGGAAACACCACTTTACAGCAGATGCCCTCTCCCGTGCGCCCGTAGGAAGCTCCACAGAAAAGGATGAGCACTTTGTAGAGGAGGTGGAAAGCTTCGCAGCCCAAAAAGTGTTCACACTTCCAGCAACTACACAGCGCCTGTCACAGATATGAGAGGCCCAAATCACAGATGAAGAATGCGTGTAAATCAGGAACTACTGCAGCCAAGGATGGCCAGCGTATATGCCAAACCAACCCTTGCTATGCCCCTACTGGGAAAACAGAACCCATTTCAGCATTGTTGATGACCTGCTTCTCTGTGACGAGCGCCTAGTGATTCCTAAGTCAATGAGACCGGAGATACTCAAATGCATTCATACTGGTCATCTTGGCATATCCAAGTGCCGAGCTAGAGCACGAGCATCGGTATGGTGGCCGGGGCTCCCTATGCAGATTGAAAACATGGTGACAAATTGTAGCACCTGCGCCAAAGATCGCCCTGAGCCCACAGAACCACTCATGTCAAGCTCTTTCCCCTCCCGACCATGGGAGAGATTAGCTGCTGACCTCTTTGAACTTGCAGGAAAGGTCTATTTGATTGTTATTGATTACTACTCAAGGTGGTTCGAGATCAGTAGACTAAACGACCAATCATCTTCCAGAGTCATTTCAGTCCTAAAAGAACTATTTTCTACACATGGCATACCTGACATTATTGTATCAGATAATGGCCCGCAATTCAGCTCCGATGCATTTTGCCTGTTTACCACTGAGTACGACTTTATTCATGTGACAAGCTCACCAAAATACAGGTCAAAGCAACAGATTTACCATGACAAACGACACCAAGCCCGTGCTCTCCCATCACTGACCAATGGCCAGCAAGTTTGGGTGCGAGACCAGAACCGGGAAGGTCAGATCTTGGGAGCCACAAAACAACCAAGGTCCTACTTAGTGAAGACTGAGATGAGCACTCTGCAACGTAACCGGTCCGCTCTAGTCCCAACCAGTTCACAACCAGCCTTTCCCACTGACGGGCCAACTATGGTACCTCAGGATAAAGCACTGCCCGTGAACCACACGCCTCCAAGGGTTTCTACCCCCGTTTCAGAGAACCAACCGGCTGAACCTACAACACCTACTACTTGTAGATCAACAACAGCTGTGTCAACCCAGGGAGGCCCTCCAAATGGTGACCGCTCTACAACCGAGTGTGTGACACGCTCAGGACGAATAGTGAAACCACCACAACAGCTAGACCTGTGAACATTTAGCTATGCAAACTGGCATTAACTTTTTGTATTAGTATTGTTACATTCTTGCTGAGTTTACTGAACTGTGTACACAAGGTCACACTTAAACTTTGGGGGGAGATGTTGGATTAGTTGTATATTACATCAGACTTCCGGTGTTCTAGTTAGCAAGGCCCTGTTGCATGTTGGGGGCCATGTGCTTTGAGGTTCGGCCATCTTGTATGTACTTCATCAGTATGCGGAATAAATCTTTACTTTGAAGCCTAAATATTACAGGAAATTCTAGCATTAAACAGCAATTTAGAGATGTTGTTAGTAAATTTGTCAAATGTTGATATAAGTGCACAAGAAGTAGTGTATACTGTATTATGACTGTCCATAAGAAAGGCATTTAGGTAAATTATATTTATAAACACTTCACCACCAGAAGGCTGGGCAAAGCTTTCAAAAATAATGGATGGTATTATGGAGATGGTCTGTGAAGAAATCTACCTTAGTGGTTCGCTTAAGAGAGATTGTAAAGGTCCAGTGTAAATGGAAAATTTGACCCTTGCTGACTGGGCCACATGGTATGATTGCAGTGGAAAAACATCAACAAAACAAACAAATGAGGTGGATGTTAATGGTCTTCCAATGGAAAATTTCATTTATGGTAATCAGAATGATGATGATCTTGAATTAAATAACATCACTTGATAACACTAAAAAAGGACCAAAGCTAGAACAATAAGTAATGTGTGGTTCAACAAAGAAGCTGAGCCAGAAAAACATTACAGTGACTTAATAACACTATTCTCTTCATGGAAAAATGAAGAAACTGACTAGCTTAGAATGTGTTCTTCTCATCAAGAACAGTATATGTTGCTCTCTAATTTAATCAATGACCAAATGAAGCAATATGATGTATGCAGTAAAGACTTTAATGAAACCAGCTTGCACCACCTTATACAGAAAGGCTTGAGCGACAAGACCAGGCTAGAGGTGATCAAGACTTAAATCCTGACTTCAAAGAAAACTATAACTTATCAGATGATTTAGGAATATCTGCTGTTGATTTGAATACCGAACCATCAATAATGAGTGATTTACAAGATAATGAATACAGAAATCTGGTGCAAATGTTGAATGAAGAGCAAAAGGAATTCTTCTACCATGTGTTACATTTCATAAAACTCCTGATGAACCATGCTACTGCTTTCTCAGTAGATATATGCAGCTTCACCAACTGGTGAAGCTGCATATAATATCAAAGGCAACACTTGTCAGAGATTCAAAGTGCACTAGCTATACCTGCATAATAGTCATTAAGGCCCCAATTGTACAGGTCATGTCCAGCTTCACCAAGCAAAGATTTCAATTTCCAATTACTGCTGTATCAAATGGCTTTGTTTGTAAGCATCTAAAGCAATTGAAGGTATCTAAAGCCACTGGATTAGACTGTATTCCTGCAAGACTACTTAAAGATGGTGCTGTCTATATTAGTGCTCCTTTGACATATCTCATTTATCTGTCAATCACAACATGGCAGGTTCCACAAGATTGGAAACACACAAAAATAGTTCCTTAGTATAAAGAAGGCAGTAGAGGGGACATGGACAACTACCATCTGATTTCTGTTCTCTCTAATGCATGGAGAGAAAGAGAGAAAGAGAGAAAGCAGTCCAACAACAATTAGTTGAATTCTTGGAGAAAAATAAGTTATTCCCCAACAATCAGTGTGGCTTTCAAACTCTGTTACAGCAAGAAGACCAAATGTGTGATAGCTTTTAATTTAGTCACATTCTGTAATCCAGTTTTAATCTAACCAGAAGATAACTAGAAACTGACTTGGACTATAATTAGATGACGACCACACAGAAAATGTGTTGAATTAAAAGTGGTAAAACCCTTTAGTTCTTGCTATAACAACCACCCTATTACTTTCCAACTCCTTGTCCCAAATTACAAACTAGAATTAAATTATTTTTTTAACCTTAACTCCCTTAAACAAGACTTCTCAACAAAATATAAGCCAAATTGCCCTTTGGAGTGGTTTGAGTGGTGGGTAGGGATGGTCACAGAGGGAGTAAATGGGCCTATTAACTACTTACTGGAGGACATACAAGTGCCAAAACAGGGGACAGCCACCACATTTAAGCCACAATGTACTACATTTATGAAAAACTTGATAAAAAATCTTTTACTTTATGTTAGTCTTCAAATGTATCTTGCCA